GGGGAGGATGGGGGGTGGGCAACAATGGTTCCGAGCAGTCTCTCAGTTCCATGAATGTAGTTCAAACTTGGGTTTGCTGGTGGAGTATGGCTATACCATTGTGAATTCTATCTTTCAGCACATTTGTTATTCTGGATTTTTTTTTAGATCTAACATTAGTAGCTTTTTTTGTGGCCTAGTGATGAAATAAGCTAGTAGGTTAGACTTTATAATGTGTGTTCAGATTACTAGACTTTTTTAACCATATTTAAAATTTGTATTCCAATTCGAAGATGTTTGCAAATATATTTTCCACAAATTGCCTCTTCATTCTCAATGGCCATTTATTGCGGGTGTCTACTGTCATCGTTGACTTTTTCAACCGTTACTTTAATGATCAATTTTATGCAGGCATTATGTGTATCTAGTTCGACTGTTTCACGACAGGTTAATGGGGTTCAAGCTAGCAGAGCCGATATGATTATTTCAGTAAGTAAACATACAAGGTTCCTAAAAAAAAAATATGCAAGTTAGCTTCACACTTTTCCACTAAATAAACCATTCACTTCTCCTCAAACGAGGATTCTCCAGGTTGGTAAAGAAGTTTGCAATTAAAGATGCTTTTTTTATCTTTCAGTTTTCATTATGATTCCTTTTTGTTCAGAAATTTATTCTGAGCTGAAATGAATAACTTGTCTTGTTTTATCGAATTCCATTCCTATGAACTTATCCATTGAATTGCTGTCAAATTTTAGGTTCTAATAAAACAAGCTGGACTAAAGCTCCAAGAGAATGTAAGTTAAACTTGCATAATTTTACTCGGTTTTTTGTTTATTTCTTTGCGATATCCACTTCTTAATTTTGATTATGTCATTTCTAGGCCATTTTCTTGAATGTTGTTAGTGGGATAACGTTGACAGAAACTGCTGGGGATCTTGCCATAGCCGCAGCAATTTGTAGCAGGCATGACTTCTAATGATGACTACCTCCTATACTATTCCCCTGGTTTGATTAGGCTTATTATTTATGAAGTGTACATTGGATTCTTGTTTTTCTTTCTCTAGCTCGCCGGATTACTATTTATCATGTGTTTGATGAGCTTTTGTTTATTCACTATTCAGTTTCTTGGAGTTCCCTATTCCTAATAATATTGCTTTCATCGGCGAAATTGGCCTCGCTGGCGAAATTCGTACGGTAAGCACATAATTTAATGCTTTTGGTATGAACATCGCACTAGTAATTTGCTAACCGGAGGTTTGAAATTGAATATCTTCCTTTGTCTATTTACACATTGTCGTCTATGATAGTCTGACTACTTGGTTGATTGTTTTCTTAGGTACCAAGAATGGATAAAAGGATACATACAGTGGCAAAACTAGGTTACAAAAAGTGTATCATACCAAAATCAGCTGAGAAATCTCTAGCAACTTCAGTTTACGAGGGAATGACAGTCGTCGGATGCAGAAATCTCAAAGAGGTTATCAACAACGTCTTTACTACATATTGAAGTGAGCTAAATTGAAGCTATTTTCCTTTTTTTATTTAGCTCTGTATATTCAATGTGTAAAGTTTCTGCTGTGATGAATAGGCTAGGATTTTTGCCAATGTTCTTACCCTATTCGTCCCTTTGTAGAGAAAATCTTTGGAATTCTTCAGTGTTTTAATGCTTGCAGATCTCTTGTTATCTGAAGAAATCACACAGAAGCAGCTCTAATTGCACATAATTTTCTCTCTTTTCCTTTTAGCACATATTTAAAAAGGGATTAAACAGAAATAACAAACACAAAGGGTGTATTCTCATTCAAACATTATGAAACTCCCTCTTTTTACATAGATCCTATTTAAACTGGAATTAAACAACATAGCATATAATGGTGTAATCATATTAAAACCTTATGTAACACCATTTGATTTGGGATGATGCTATTTAATCAACTGAACACTTTAAAGAAAATAAACACCAAAAATAACTCAGTAAATCCTAAAATTTAAATGTCTACGAAGTCTCTTTGCTTTAGCCATTCTCACATCTTGCATGGCTTCCCCCATCTACACCTTGGATCTGTGTTTCTTCATCTCGAAGAATGTCTTTAGGATTCAGAAAACTTGGCTGATTGGTTGAAGATAGGAGCCTTGCCCACATTCTGTCAGTTATCACGACCTTGTTCTGTCTCGATTATCCGCTGAACAACAAGAAATAAGCAACTTGAGTAAACCCCTCCTTTTAGTCTTGCTTCTGAACAATCCAAAAAGAGAGAACATTAATGAAGAAGATGATGTAACGAGGCAATGAATTTACATGGAATGGTATGTAGGCATGTCTTCCATTAACAGGGCCAACCGTGAAGCCTGTATATCCTGCCATTGCACCATGAATGGCACTGTGAGCAAGGAGGGTGCAGTACACATTATCAGAAGCATTACCTGGCACGGCGCGGATCATGTAAGTGGGATCTGTTACAAAATCACAATCATAATAAATGTTTTGTTAAGCCTCTAGAACACATACATCTGGAAAGAATTACGGAATCGGAAGCAACTTTTTGTTATCTCACCGATATATTTGAGGTTTATAGTCATCTTTTGCTTCTTTGAGAAGTGCTCCTACAACAAGAGAAAGAAACCTTTCAGCACATAAAAAGTGCACGTCTATACTGTAAAAGACATGGAGGCATTCCTTTGAAAATTGCTAGTTGTTACTAGTTAGAGATTGGCATGTAAGACCTTGTCGTACTCTGTGAAAATTAGTGGGTCCTAGAATTGACAGGTGAACTTATGATCGGTTGAAAATGTATGGTGATGATCACCAATAGTGACACATAAAATTATTCCATTTCCTTTGATAAAACAATACAAAATTAACCAAGGCATGAGATGCACCTTAATTTTTTGTGCTAACCATAGGCCAACATCTTGAAGAAACTTGTTTCCAGAAGCATCCTGCTGATGGGCAGTACGCATACTTTCGGAAAGGATCTCTTGCCCTACACCTTCAGCCACCACTATAACCATGTGACCATTCTCTTTAAGTCTCTTCTCTATGTACTCGAAAAGTCCACCGGGCCCTTCAAGGTAAAAGGGCGACTCTGGAATCAGGCAACAGTCCACGTCTCTGCTGGCTAGAGTGGCATACATAGCTATATATCCTGTATAACTAAATGCGTCAGATTACAAAACTAATATACAATTGTAGTATAGTTAGTGAAAACGAAACTCACCATTGTGGCGTCCCATTAACTTGACTACACCAATACCATTCTCAATGCTTTCAGCCTCAACATGAGCTGCGTTGATAGCTCGTTGAGCTTCCTCGACTGCAGTGTCAAAGCCGAAGGATTTGTCTATGACCTGAATCGGATTTGAGAAAGGTATCCAACATGAAGTAAAATTTGCATTATATCAGATGAATTACTCGTGTTCAGAAGTTTTTCACGTCATGAAAAAATACTGGTATGTCATTGTCAATGGTCTTCGGAATTCCAGCCACCGCGACTTTTAGCCCTCGCCTCCTGATTTCCTGCATGATGAGTGCTTGGTAAATAACCAATTTAGCAAACAACTACCATTTATTTTAGATACAACTTTCACGTAACCAAAACTGAAGTACCTCAAAAATCACAGCAGCTCCTTTTTGAGTTCCGTCTCCTCCAACTATATAAACCTGAGTTTGCACTACGTATTAGTCTTTCCATGAGTTAAATATATACATAGAAATTATAACGAATGTGAAAATCAAAATGTAGAATCAAATCAACAAAACATGCCTCGGTCATAACCACCACGAGATGTCCCAAGAATGGTTCCTCCACGTTTATGGATGTCATTAACAACTTTTGGCGTTAAAGGGATCGTATTTCTAGCATAAAAACCTTTATATCCTCCCTACAAATACAGAAGTAAGACGAGCAAATCCAAAAAAAAATAATAATAATAAGAAAAAAGAAAAGAAAACCTTTGAAGATTATGTGTGCCGTGATATATTATAATAATATTATAAGACAACGGTAGTGGTGTTCACCATTCACCGTATACTAATAGAAGGCGGGTCCCAAGCCTACAGGTGGGCCCAATTTCTATTCCTAAATATTTTCGATGTATTATTACCTCAATGCCAAGAACTCTGTGTACATCATACATGTAGTACAAGCCACATACAATCTCTCTAATCACTGTGTTTAGACCAGGACATAGACTTCCACATGTTACTATACAAGCATGTACTTCATCCGATTCGAAGTACACCTGAAGAAAATAAATAAATTTCAAACCTTCAAAATTTTCAGTTAGAATTGAAGAGCAATAAAACTGGAAAAGTTTATACTAAAACTAATCAGAACCTTCTGACGAGGTCCAGCCCGCCGAAAGTGAGTCCCTCTTGGACTGTTTTTGTGAACAACAATCTGCATATATACAAAGGAAAATTGATTAGAATTATAAGGATTCAACACTTGAGGATAGTTAATAACGAGAAAAAATGGTTATAAAGAGTCCACCGAGCAAGAAGACGAAAATAGTCACCTGCTTGGCGACTGTATCGTCCACATTAACGAAGTATTGTCTGTTCATATTCAAGGTTCAAAAATCAGGTTTCGAAGTTGTGATTTAGACACACGTATTTACAATTATTAGAAAGTGCAAATTTTACTCACTTCACGACTGAGTAGGAAGGATTGTCTTGCAATGGATTTGGATAAGTCTGCATGAATTATTTTAAAAGAACAAACAATACCAAGTCATTAATATTATCACAATTGAAGGAATTAAAATGAAGAAAAATTAAGAAAAAGAACTTGCATGAAAACCCGGCTTTTTTTTTTTCCTTTTTTTTTTTTTGTTTTTGAAGAAACAGATAGAGAAAGAAAGAGGAACACTTTTATGTAGTCTGTTCTCATCCATTTTCCACCAAACTCAAAATGACTAGCATGTTCGGTTTGATCCTTTCTAGTCAGTCAGTTATTTTCTCAGAAACCAAACACAGAAATTAGAAAATTAGAGAGAGAGAAGAAAGTTACGGGGAGGTCAGGGAGGTAATCAGTCAAGTGAGGAACATCTTCGAGAACGTAGCCAGCGTCTCCGGTGACAATTTTAGGTTTGGAATTCATGGAAAATCCCATACTAAAAGCTGAGTTTGAGTTTGAGTTCCGAGTATTCTCCAGGACTAGACGAACTTACTAATGGAGTGGAAAAGGAACGTCTGTGATTGGGCGACTCAGAATAAGTGTTCGTAGGATCGAAGCACCAGAATCTCTGGCTGGCAATAGACGCAGAGCTGGATATCAAGTCCATTTTTGGAATTCAGAAAAGTGTTATGGAATTTCGTGCAGACCAACTGATGATCACAACAATATTTATAGGCCCTTTGATGACTGATCCAACGGCGATGGACGTATTCACTAGGACATAAAATATATATATATATAATTTCTTACTTTTTTTAATCTTTGTAATTTTTTTTTGCACGACAAAAAAATTTGATACTCTAGTAGTTGCTACTAGAAGAGTGGGAACTGACTCCAGAAGGAAGGCGCGAAGGTGGTCGTGGAGAGTGTAAAACTGAAGCTAACTGCTGATGAAAGCGTCTTTTCAACAGTTTCTGAATAAATAATAAAAAGCTTTTTTCCGTAAAATAATTTCCGGTTCGGGAAAAATAAAACTTTTTGGTGAAAGCCACTAATTGCCACCACATGAATACTTGAATTGCCGAGGTCGGACGGCTGACACGTTTCATCATTTTTCAAAAGGGAAAAAAAATTTAAGATCCTTTTTCATTGTTCTCACTTCATTAAACAAAGTGGCGTAATTTGGTTATTTAAACTCTTAAATACTGGCTGAGACATTAAAAATTAGACAATAAATTTAAAACGTCATCGTAAAAAGAAGTGTAGTGTTAGTTACTAGTTAGTAAGTGAAATATATTAATTCCATCTGCTCGTAACGAGAAATCCCACCACACGAACGTGATATAAGGCATAATTTATATCACAATATATAAATGAAACAACAGCGTATAATTATAATATCTATTCTAATTGTACAATTAATCATGCATCTAAACAACGAAATATTGGTTGAGTTATTAAAATGACCGACTTTTGTATGTACCATTATTACATGTTGGTGTAAAAATTAGGAGTGTTATGCACATTATGATGCAATATTTATATCCCAATGACCAAATCCTATTCCACTAAGTATAAAAACAAAGTGTGGTTAACATCGTCGGGATGACATCAAAATACATGCTTGTGAGTTGTGTGACTCATGATTCGCGCTTGTGACTCAGGTATGTGCAAATTAATGCAGGAATGAACGCATGACAAAGCATGAGTGGGATGACAAAGCACGTTGGCATCACATGTTAAAGAAATCAAACTGAAAATTTTAAAAGGGTACCCAAAAAAAAAAAAAAAAAAGAATGTGCAGCAAATGACGTGGCAAAAATAAGCCTCAAACCAGAAGTTTGGTTAGCTGGTTCACTTTTTTAAGGGAGAATTAAACACACACACACACATATATATATATATATATATATTTCTATAACGGTATAAAAATGGAAAATATTGTGGACCATAAATAACAACCACGATGTGTAGATTAGGTTCAATACAACTTTTAAAATTAATTATTCACGTTCATTTTTTTACGAGTAAATTAGACTCAAATATCTTTACTTATATCCAAATACCAACTCTTTTAAAAAATAGTATTCATCCACCTTAATCAGTAAGGGCTAGATTTTGTGTTAGTTGTGTATCACTTTTGAAGTCTAATTATTCATTTATTACATTTTAATATTAGATAATTCAACTTAACTTTTCACCAAAGTGATGTGTTTGAAGTCAACCATTTGGAAATGGTATACCTTCGGTTCGTTCCTAGATTTGATGGGTTAAAAACTGGATCTGAATATGACTCGGAGCCCAAATTTAGCTAGTTTGGGTCTACATTACAAAAACAGCCCAAACAGGCCAAAACAGGCCGGAGGCCTAACGAGACAACAGCCCAAATAAAACAGAGTAGTCTAGTCCCAGTACTGAATACTAAACTAGGCCTATTGTGCAACTAGTGAAACGCCCAAAGTACTATTAGATCAAACGACACATTTAGGTGAATAATGACAATTTTTATTAAGGATTTATATATATATATATTTCTATAAAACAAAGCAAGAAATCACATTTTATATTTTGTGCTTTATTCTATCTGGACTTTCCACTAATTAAATATGATTACGTGTTGTTCTAAAAAAAAAAAAGATTATGGGTTGGTTTAAAACTTGTTCCAAATAATTTTATTTTTCGTATGAAAATAAAAATAAAAACGTTTTCAATCTGAGACATAAATTATTTTTAAAAATGCGTTTGATAGTTTTATTAAGAGATTATTTTTAGTATAAAAAAATATTAATGTCTCTCTCTACTCGAGAGAGGAGAAAATGGAAACAAAAAATAAAAAATGATTAAAAGTCATTTTTCATTTTTTTTCCCATCTTACACTAAACTAAAAAATCGTTTTTATTTCCTTTTTTATCTTTAATTGTGCCAAATGTCGTTTCTTTCTTGTTTTTATTTTTTATTTCTCTAAAAACGTGAAAAATAAAAACAAAAACAACTCTAAACACAACCTACATATTTTTTGTTTTTTTTTCAAAAAAAATGTGATCTTTTTTTGAAAAACAAAATGTTACATATTCTTTTTGAGACCTTTTTTGATATGCCAACATACTGATAGGTAACGTTTTTTTTTCCTGTTAGATCTATATAAAATTACGTAAAAGTTAAAAAGTACGTAGATCAACGATTAGAAAAACTTAATCTACCGATACACCAGACGCACCAAAAATTCTCCCTTATTATAAGTGTGATAGTGAATGAATTTAAGCAAATAGTAAGTAACCAAGGGGCTGTTCGTCAGCATTGAGTTTTTATTAAAATACTATCTAAATACAAATTCAAGTTTTGACTCACTCAAACACAAACTCAAAAAGATTCTTATCTCAAACCATAACTCAAATGTATACAACCAAACACAAACTTAAATTACAACTTCAACTCAAGTTATAACTTAAATTCAACTCAAAATTTACACTCAAGTCACCTAACTTAAACACGGCAAAAGAACAGCCCCAAAATATTCAGAAAAAAGGCTCTTGCGACGAATCAGAGTGAGAAGCTTTAAGCATTCTGAGTTTGTTTTTTTTATTTATTTTATTTTATTTTATTTTTTATTAGATATCTCTGTAAGTATGGTTAATTTTTAACTGTTTTAATAGGATTAAAATCAGATTAAATTTTTAAAAAATAATTTCTTATATAAAAGAGAGCTTTTTCAAGTTTTCTTTTTTAAAGTGAGAAGAAATTTTTACATGAAGAAATTTGCTAATAAGCACTCGAATTATTTTTCTATTTACAGCCATAGGCCAAGTAGACAAAGCCAAAAATTAGTGTCATTTTTCTATTACGCCACCTTCGTTCTTCGGAGAGACTGATCAAAAACTTGAAATTTGAAAAGGGTCTCTCTTCTCTCTCTAGGGCTTCATTTAACACACACAGACTGCTACATCGCCAATCGCCATGTACAGAACTGCCGCCTTTCGACTTAGGTCTCTCAAGGTTAGTACTAAATACTTCTCATCAAAAACCCTACCTTTTCTTTTCCCTTTTCCTTTTCCTTCCCGAGAAATGTAATTTTAGAGCATTTTGCGATCCATTTTTTTTTTTAATTATTTTTTTAATCAAAACTGATTCATTTCGTTTTTGTCTGATTGGATTTTCTTTGTTTCTATTGGAAGAGGAATATTTTCTCCCGTTTTTATTTTATTTTATTTTATTTTTTTATCGTTTTTAGTTTGGTTAGTGGGAAAATGGAGCAACAGAAAGGTAATATCAATTTATTGGCTTTTGCCTCTAAAGCCTTCTATACGATTTGGTGACGAAAATGAAAGAATTACAAATTGAGGAACGTCTTTTCTTTGCTCAAAAACAAAAGTGGAAAAGGAATTTAATATAGAGAACTTTATTTCTTATGTAAAAGATGATAAAAAAGATTTTTTTTTTTTTTGTTTTTGGACAAGAATCATATTTTGAACGGCTTGTTTACATAGAAGTAATTAGAAATTTTGTTTACATTGTAATGCTGATTGCACGGCAATGCTTCATCCATTTTTTGAGTAGGGCCGTGTAGGGAATTCGGGTGCCGCGAGGTATGCGACGGCGAGCGGAGTTGCTACAAGACCAACCTCAGGGGGTTTCTTTAGTTGGTTGACTGGGGAACGATCAAGTTCTCTTCCTCCTCTAGAAATCCCTCTCGCAGGCGTCAACCTGCTGCCTCCGCTACCTGATTATGTTGAACCTAGCAAGACTAAGATTACAACTCTTCCCAATGGAGTTAAAATTGCTTCTCAAACATCGACGGTATGAAAGAATTGTTTCAATGGTTCAACCTGTCTATTATGCTGGTTTATCAAATGCCATTTTCTTGTTAAGCTTTAATATTATCGGTTTTGCGAATTGGGTTATTGATGAGCTTGACAGGTTCATTATTCAGAGTCCTGCAGCTTCTATCGGGTTATATATCAATTCTGGGTCCATCTATGAGGGTCCAGGGACACATGGGGCTACACACTTGCTGGAACGGATGGCCTTTAAGAGTACAACCAATCGGAGCCACTTGAGGATTGTGAGAGAAGTGGAAGCAATTGGTGGAAACATAAATGCTACAGCCTCTAGGGAGCAAATGGGATACACTTTTGATGCTCTGAAGACCCATATACCTCAGATGGTTGAATTGCTTATTGACTCGGTCAGAAATCCTGCCTTCTTAGATTGGGAAGTCAATGAAGAGGTACTAAACCTTTCTGTTAAAGTTTATAGTTTGGTTTTAAAAGACTTTTTGTAAAATGATTTTCTTTCATTTACCAACTTTCATTCGAGTTTAAATTTTCTATGCAAGGAAGGATTTTTGGCGTGAATTGCTAGTTCATTTCCTGCAGTTTAAATTTAAAGTAATATCAACAGAAAACCAGCAAATTTCCTCTACCATTATGACAGTGTGTTTCCTATTTGAACTCGTTAAGGAAAATATATATAATTTAATCAAGGATAAGTTAGGGAAGAATGATGAGACGATCTCTTTTATTCTTCAATTTTCTCCTTGAAGAGTATTAGACGGACTCATTTGTTATGATTTTACATTTATGCAGCTCCGAAAGGTGAAAGCTGAGATTGGAGAACTGTCTAATAACCCCCAAGGATTACTCTTGGAGGCAATTCATTCAGCTGGTTATGCTGGTGCATTGGCAAATCCTCTTTTGGCTCCCGAAACCGCACTACACACACTGAATGGAAGTTTTTTGGAGCATTTTGTTGCTGTAAGACCCGTGAAATTTTTTTTTATAAATATAGTCTTGTAATTCCCTTAGTTCCGAATAAATCATGTGTTTGTTTTTTCTTATTAACAATAACATTGTTAGTATGCATTGCTTTCTTGTTCTGCATGTTTATTTGCTGTTTAATATGTTTGGATCCTAGGAGAATTATACTGCTCCACGGATGGTTCTGGCGGCATCTGGGGTTGAACATGAGGAGTTAATTTCCATTGCGGAGCCACTTTTGTCTGATCTACCAAGTGTTCCCTGTTCCGAGGAACCTAAATCCGTGTATGTTGGAGGAGATTATCGTCGTCATGCAGATATAGGGGTATGCATAATTTTTGTTTCTTTACACACTGTTGATCTTCTAATTCAACATTTTTTAGTACTATGTTACTTTGTTTTCTTAGATTATTGTATTTGTATTACGTTTATATTGTGCTAATCTGCTTTACTTCTTGGGGGATCAGAGCACACACGTTGCCCTTGCTTTTGAAGTCCCTGGTGGTTGGCGTGAGGAAAAGCAAGCTATCCTTTTGACTGTTCTTCAGGTGCTGCACTTTGATTTTAGAAACTTTCGAGGGATTTGTGTTTTGAGCCACTTATTCAGGAATGGAGCATTACACTTTCTTTTTTATTTTTGTTTTATTTTTGTTTTTATTGTTATGCTTGAATGAACTCTGAATTTTGTAGTTGCTTATGGGAGGAGGTGGTTCGTTCTCTGCAGGGGGTCCTGGAAAGGGAATGCACTCAAGGCTATGTAAGTTATACCTTTGTCTTGCAGTTCACTGCTGACTTTTCACTGCCACTTTATTCATCTTGGTTATGGTGGTTGTAACTCTTAGCTTTTTAGACTATTTTCTTGACCATATGACTTTGCTGTAATTTCACTTTTGCTTTTTCTGTTGCTTCTTTAGTTGCAATAGCAGTGCTGACATTAATATTTCTGTTTTTTCTTTTTCTTATGAACTTAGATCTCCGAGTATTGAATGAGTACCAACAGATTCAGTCCTTTTCTGCATTCAACAGCATCTTCAACAATTCTGGATTGTTTGGCATTTACGCTAGCACTGTAAGGCTTACTTTTTATATAGAAATCATGTTGGTGACTATTGCTTGCCGTTTGTTGGATATATTACTGGGATTGCCCAATAATGTGGTGGTTATTACCCTCAGAATGTTATTCTGTTTAAATGATAATGACGGAAGACTTAATACTCCCCAGTTGTATGGCAGTCTGATTATTATTTTTCTGAAAAAGAGGAGAAAAATTTAAACTCAAGTTATTACCTACAGTATTGAGTGTGGCTGGTGGCCCATCTAGGGATGCAAGTTTGTGAATGCACTCTTGTTAATTTTTGGGAGGGGATGTTTCTTAGATTTTTATGATATTGATGAGGAAAATAAATATTTCTTAGAAGTGATATGACTCAAGTATAAAATTTGGCATTGTCTCATCAGATCTAGAGCTACATCGTCTGGGTGTTCGGATTGATTGATGTTTTTTTTTTTAATTATTATTACCCTTACTGAAAATGTTTAATTTGTTGATGTAGGGCTCTGATTTCGTCGAAAAGGCAGTTGCTGTAGCAGCAGCAGAGTTACTTTCAATTGCCACAGCTGGACAAGGTTCTCTGTCCTGCTCTTCCCCACTCGCCTTTGTTGGCAGTTCATAAAATTAGATATTACTGACCTTTCTTTTCTTTGTGGCAGTTACCCAAGTAGAGCTTAATCGTGCGAAAGAGTCCACAAAATCTGCAGTTTTAATGAACCTTGAATCTAGAGTACTTTCTCTCTCTCTCTCTCTCTCTCCAACACACACACGAGCTATATGTTATATCCGAGTCTTCTCACTTATTTGTGCTTATGCCATGTTGTTGCGTGATTTTTATGCTCGCAAGTGCACGTGTCGCAGACAAGTAATAAAGTGTACAGAGTACGGATATCGTCTCACAGAGAATGAATCACCAAGTGTACATGTAGAAATCAACTAGTTTACTCGTTAAAAATGATAAAAAGTTGTCTGTTTAAAAATTACCCAATTGATTTAAATGCAGAAATGCAAAATAAAATGTAAGAAAAGATTAACCAGAAGATCAAAAATGCTAAAATGGAGTGTATGCAATGAAGTGAATCAGCTATACCTACTAATTTCCCCTTAGTTGCAAATCTGACAGAATGTTGCAAGAATGCTATAGCATTTAAACGTCCTGTTAACAGAAACTCATTTATTGTGTATAAGATTCTTCCGAAGTCATTATGTCTACAGATTCCTCAACCATTTCTAACATATTCCTATGTGAATCTAGTTTAGAAGGCAAATTAAGCTCAGATTTCTTTATGTTATGCAAGATGAACAATATATTCCTATACCATTGACAAATCAATAAACTAAAACAGGACTGTTAGATCCAACTAAAATTAACCTTTCTAGTATTAATCTTAGTCTTGTATTCTATGATCGATGGCTTGTCAAAAACAGAAATAACCATTAAGCATACATAGATGAACAGGAAATAGAATTAATCAACATTCCTCAAGCAAACATCATCCTTACAACCTCGGTTCCGTTAGCAGATCTGGCTTAACAAATTAGTTCATAATGGTAATTACAGAAACTAAATTTCCAGAATAATCCATGGCTAAATTAATATCCAAATAACAAAAGAGAATTAAGTTAACAGATAGAAGAAAGAATTTTTGGCTGGATCTTGGATTTCTCTCTTGTCCGGCCTTCCTTCCTTCAGCTCTCTGCCTTCTTTCTTCTCTCGCGTCTCTGTAGTCTCTTTTTATGGAGGAGAGGTATTCTGTGTATTGTATGTTTTTCTTTTCAGCAGTGGTGTTGTCTTTTTTTCTCTTTGTCGTGTGTTCTCTATTTTTCTCTTCTTTGTACTTGGCGACTGCTTGTCTCTCCAGAGAACACTTCCTTCTTAAGGCAACAAAAAGGGCTAAGGTGTCACTTGATGATGTGTGCAGTGGACCACAATGACACCTGCTCAACCTGCTCACACGGATTTTTTTGTTTGCTTTCCCCAAGTAGTGCGCTGATGTCATCCACATGCCAGCTGTTCCCAAGTCTGCTTTCTCCAAGTAGTGCGCTGATGTCATCCACATGCCAGCTGTTCTCAGAATGCTGCAAGAATGCTGCAGCATAGTCATAGCATTCTCCCTGCAATTTGCAAAATCACAACTTAAGGCATATTTCAACATCTTTTTGACTCGAATCACTCCTTAACCTGAGAGCAGCACAAGTACAGAATTTAGCAAGATAAAATGCAAAATCAGAAAATTTAAGTTAAAACACAGAGAAAACAATGAAATACACTCTTGGCTAAGCAAACTATAAGCTAAAAATGCATAAGATAACTTTAATTTCTTAGAGTTATCACATGTTATGTCCCGGTTTATTTCTGTTTTTGTGGATAATGTGGCTGTGGAAAAATATTCATTTCTGGTTCTCTTATCATCTGTTCTATTCTGTATAGCTGTCCAGTTTGATTTGATATCTGTTTCTCTGTGTATTCTCTGCAGATGATTGCATCAGAGGATATAGGTCGACAGGTTTTGACATACGGAGAGAGGTACGCCATGAGTATATGAGAGCTTGTTTTTGTATCTTTTGTTTATCTAAGAGAGTGGACTTCTGAAATTCAATTTCATCTGTTAATACATACAGGAAACCCGTGGAGCGTTTCTTGAAGGCGGTAGATGAAATAACGTTGAAGGACATTACTAGCATTGCCCAGAAGATTATTTCTTCTCCTCTAACGATGGCATCATTTGGGGATGGTAATTACTTTTAAGAATTAACTTATCCTGATATTTACTATTAGGGAAAGTTCTATTTGGTACCCTATCGAAATCTGCATTTAACACCCGTGAATTTTTACAATTTTAAACTGGTACCTCAACATTTTAAAAAAAATCTTTTTTTTGGTATTCTAAAGTTGTTTCTTCGGACATAATGATTTTTTAAAAGATTTTTAAAACGTTGAGGTATTATTTTAAAATTATAAAAACCACAGGATACTAAATGCATATTTCAATATAACTCATGTACCAAAATGAAATTTTCTCTATTAATTATAACGTTGGATAGTAACAGTGTTCCTTTTCTCTTGGCAGTTCTTCATGTGCCCAGCTACGAATCTGTGAGCTCCTTGTTCAATGCAAAGTGAGGGTGGCTCTTCATTTCGAACTCACCAATGGCCTTTATTTTTTACATTTTCCTAAGCAGCGTTTTCAAAATATTGAAATAAATTTTTTAGTCGGAAGAAAAAATAACACACACTGAGTATGTCCAAAATCTTGCCTGCTTTTTGACAATTCTCTCGCTTGCAATTATTGAGCGGGTCTTTTTTCTCAAGCTCATGATCAATGAAAATTTTGCATTCGTTTTATTTTCTTTTCCTTATAATCCCTAGTTTGGCACTGTGATGCTTGTATGAAAGTACTTATCGATCGGAGCGATCGGAGCGATAGGAGAGTTTGATTTTGGATGATGATTCATTTTCCAAAGTCTGATGAGGCGTTTTTCAAGTTTTTGATCTAAAGCCAAAGCGGTGAGTCGTCGTCTTTTGTTTGCCGTCTTTCGTGTTATATAACTCATTTTTTCCCTCTTTGGTCCTCGTTTCCTGACCTCATTGTCGTTTTTGCCTTCACCTTAAAAAAAATGGTAGGTTTTGAGTTAATATATTGTCTTTTTCTGCTGCTACTTTTTCATTTCTCATCGAAGATGGTCTTCTTTCTTGAGTGCTGTTTAAAACATTCCTTGACGTTCTTTTATCATCTTTTCTCGTCGTTTCGGTGGTTTTCGTTTTCACGCTTAAATGAAGTTCTACAGGCATTGCCCTTTTTTAATTTGCTATCGCTTTTGTCCCCTATGACTACTTTATTCATTGGATTAATTACAAAAATTCATTATGAATTATACTTTTTGTAATACTTTGTCGTCTAATTTATAAAACGTAACGTTTTCATGAAGAATGAAATGTTAATAAAAAAGTCTCATTCCTTAGGATTTTAATTAAAAAATTCATAAAATTTTTAACTTAGATTTAATCAATAATGAATGCATAATAATTAAAAAGGTAAATTTAAATTAGTTTTAAATTTAAACATAAACCTACTAAAATACTCTCAGAATAAAAAAACTTAAATATTACTTTTTGTATAAAAACTTAACGGAGGGGGCTTATTTTGTTAACATTTTATTATTTAGGACAACAGATGTTATTTTGGTTTTTCAAAAGAGCTTACAATTAAAGCCATAAATGAAGCTTCTAAAAAAAACATTTCTGAATAGACTTGAAAACTTGCACTAGAGTTTCATTAAGGTATTATAAACTTAAGGCTTGTTTATGTCACAACGTAAGTTTTATTATTATAGTATTTTGTTTCACAAAAATTTAAATTCAATTTTTTTATTATAATATTTTTCTCTCACATACATAACTCAAATTATAACTTGAGTTGTGAAATGAACATACTCTCAATTTCAATTTTCAATGCTTTTATTGTTTATTAGAAAATTAAAAAATAATTTTAATTTATTAAATTATTTTATTTCAAATACTTACTGAAAAAGTAAAATTTTTACTTATTTTCTCTACTGACCGAAAGCAAAAACAAAAGTTATATTAAACGGCCCATAATATGAGAGTTGGTCATTTTCACTGGTAAATCATAATTTTATGTTGACGATTTTAAACTACGTGAAATTTAAACTCTAAAATATGAGCCTCAAATCTAAAAAGAAAAAAGAAAAAAGAAAAAAAAAAAGGACCAAAACGAAACAAGACTATCAGACATGTTATCTGGATAGAGGTAAACTACCGAAGATCTAGATTTATATTGTAACTATATTGAAAGCCTAAAAGAGATTAGTCTCAAAAAACTCCTATTAAGAGATATCGAGGATCTCCTTTGAAAAGTTACAGTTGCGGCGGTTCTTCAGATGAAGGCCAGGGTGTAGTTTTCAAAACAAAGACCATGAAAAGTGTTTCAGCTGTGTATGCGGAACTTGCTGTTGCTGAGTTTGGTCTTATTACAGCTTTGGAGCATTCATCTTGTTCCAATATATTGAATAAATTGGAACTTTTCCATAGCAAAAAAAGAGGATTTCTTTTTTCAATCGGAATTAGGAAACTAAACAAGAAAAGGGGCCACCAAAGAGAGAATTTCGAAGCTCTTTAATCTTTGACTCTCTGAGAAAACTCACTTTAACAAGAAAAAATCTGTCTTGTATTGTAATTCATCGCATCAAATCAACAAGAAAAAAAAAATCTTCCTTCACAAAAAAAAAAAAAAAAAAAATCTTCCTTCAAAAAAAAAAAAAAAAAAAAATCTACGCATCACCTCCGCGTCTGCCTCCACCTTTGTGCCCACTATCTCCATCCACAAACCCTTTGGCTCTAAAGTAATTGGTTTGAAAGCTTTGGCTTCGTATTGTTCATTGCACTTTCGGGAAAAAGAATGGTTTGGCCTTTGTTTGTTCATAGGTTTGGACAAAAAGTCTGCGATTTTACAAATAAACAATATGAAGCCAATTATTAGTTTCTATTAATGTGTTCCGATGATTTTGGACAATTATTTCTTCCTATTATTGATCAAGTATATTAATTTGTATTTATACTGTTAAAACTACACGGATTATTGATTACTATTTAAGGTTTTATTTATTATAAAGATAATCGTCGAACTTTTATCTTCACGTCGACAGTACTATTCTTGGTCTGTTGTTTTGATTGATCCTGACTCATCAGCCAGAGGTCGTTGTCAATCTCAGCTTATCAGCCCGACGCCAAGCGATGCATTTTGTTTTCATTCTTTTAAATATTTAACACAATTATGGTTATCACACATTTTTTTTGTTACTCATGAGATTTTAATTTTTTTTAAAAAGAAAAGAACATAAAAAATTGGTTACCAAATTAAAAAATGAAAAAATAAATTCAATATATAACATTTTATTTTTTTTAATAAATTAAAAACAAAAAACGTTACTTGGATGAGAATTACATTGTGTCCGTTAAGTGTTTGAGAAAATATTTGATTAAAAATTTCAAATTGACTGCTATGGAATTGTGAGAGAAAACAATAATATAGTACAAATATTCACTTGTGAATTGTGATTCAAACCTATGAAACAACCGAATTAGTGTTGAAATGTAAAACATATTTTGTGATTAAATTTTTGATTTAGGTGTGAACAGAATAATTATGGGCTGTCATTTTGTTAATTAGGTGTCAATTAGGATTTTGATTAGTTTCCTTTTTCTTACTATTCTCTACATGTATTTATCAACCTAGTATTGTAAACATTTGGTGTGAATGAGAATTATTTTGATCCAAATTTCAAGTTGAGAATTATTTTGATCCGAATTTCAAGTTGGTATTAGAGCGTTTTCTTCTTCAATCCTTTCATTCACCGAAAAATAGCAAAAGAACAAAAAAAAAAAAAAAAAACCCCCAAACAACAAAGCAAATAGCAAACACAAAAAAGCAAATCGGCAAATTCAAACCAAGCAAACAAGCAAAACGGCATATCAAACAGCAAATCACCAAACACAACCAACCAAAACAAAACAAGAAAACACACCCTAAACAAAATGGCCATTTTTTTCAGTACTCCTCGAGTCCTTGTAATATTGTCGTCTTTGTTTTCTTATCAAGTGTGCCTGAATACCATGGATTACATGCCCCACGCAGAATACACGTTCAGCTTCCAGTGTAGCCCTAATGAATTTCACTGGTTCGACATTTTCTCGCTAAGCATCTCCAAAAGAGCTATCTATGTTTTAGTTAAATTCTAAATAAAAATATTAAAAGCTATTTTAATTAGTAACTTTTTAATGAGTCACTCTAATCATACTCTATATTTTAACTAAACATAAATTATTTTAATATTTTTTTGAGTTTAAAATATAATTTTTTTAAGTTTTACTTTATGTCAAAATAAAGAATAAAATAATAAAAAGAATAAAATAATAAAAAGAATAAATAAGTAGCCACTTCTTGCTAGTTATATTTACCTAATAGAAAATGCTTTAATCAAAATAGCTAACCATTTAACTAATAGTTGGAATAGAGAAAAACTAAAAAAAAAAAAAAAAGACTAAATCATTAATTATTTTAACTAAACACACAAAATAATTAATATAGTTGGAGTTACTCTAAACTGCTACTGAAAAAACAAGATGATTGCACCAAGTGTCGTTGGAGTGTGTATTCTAATGGACCGTGTCTTTTTTTATCCTAAAGCTGGTATCTACGCCATTTGCTATCCTTGGATCAAAGGAAAGTCGCCATGCTGAGATATATTGTCCTTTATATATGAAATGAAATTGATGTAATAATAGTTTGGGCTCCTATTCACATGTTTTTTTTTTTTACTCTCCACACCCCTTTTTAAATACACACCCTTTACAATTTTTAAAAAACTAAATTTACTTTTTACACATCGATCCCTATTATTCCAAAACCATCCCTAACTATTTTCATAATATTATAATTCTTGATCATTTAAATTTTCTTCCACACCCACAATTTTATTTTAATTTATTGTTTCTTTATCTCTATAATTTTTTTTTCTGAAGTTTTCGGTATGCAGCCCTTATTCATACATAATTATAATTACATACTTTAACAATAAAGAACATAAACATGAGATAATTATTATATCAATTGAGGTGTTGATAAAAAAAGACAAAATGGAACAAGTGAATTCAAAAGAGCTTAAGAAAAACAGAGAACGAAACTTAAAAAAAAATCAACTTTATAAAAAAAATTAAATGATTAGCCATTAAAAAAACAAAATGATTAAAAAAACATAAACATAAAACGAGAAAAAAGACAGAAAAACCGCACTACAAATTGCAAAGAAAATTAAACTTAATTCTCATCTATTTTTTTAATAGTCATTAAAATATAAAAATTAGGGCTCTACTATAGATTTCAAAATAACAATAGTTTATAATTTGGGATATAATAATGTGGGTGTATTGAAAGAAAAAAACTATGTAATTAGTTTCCTTTTTACTATAAAATTTAATCACGTAATTAAGTCTATTATAATTGTCTTTTTTATCATTTTATGTGAGTACCTTTTTGTTATTAGAAATTTTAATATGAATAGGGGTGTTCAAATAAAACCAGCCTAATTGTTTTTGTGTGATTTTGGTATTCTTAAGTTTGCATGACGGAGTTGATCAGTTGTTCAAGTACTGTAATTAGTGTCTCTGACAATATGAGATGCTTAAATATTTAGCTTTATTCAAATAAAAAAAATATCACTTTTCTCGTTTATATACTTTTTTTTCTTTGTTTTATGCGTTTGAGTCATTAGGGCCTCATTCATTTCACTGATTTGAGTTTTCAGTTTTAAATTTTTACAGTTAAAAGCTCTCAGAAAATGTTGCATTTAACTTTTTCTGCTACAGTTAAAAGCTTTCAGAAAATGTCACATCTCAGCTCGAATTGAAAACTTGAATCCGCAAAGCAAATGAGACCTAGGTTTGTTTGGTCCCATTATTTTTAATTTAAACGCACGTATTATAAAAAAATAAAAAATATATGTAAAGAAAAAAAAGAAGAAAAAAAGGAAAAAAAGAGAAAGAAAAATGAGTGAAAAGAATGTTGAATCATCCGGGACAAATCTGTTGCCATTGTTATTCAATTTGAAGACATTTTTATGCTGGAATAATTCTCAATGATTCAAACTATGATGTTTGGTCCCAATTGATGGAGATGCATATTGCTAAAAGGGAAAAACTCTCTTATATTCATGGAAAAATAAAGCCGCCGCTTGAATCGGAAGACGGGTACGAGAAGTGGTAGGATGAAAATCAAAAAGTCAGGAGGTGAAAGAAAAATTTTAAAACGACCTCTACTGTTGCAATTGTTGAAACAAAGACACAAAATGATGTTGTTAAAAGTGGCTCGCCGTTGGTAGCAGCTGAAGACAATTTTTTGTGGTACTAGAGGATTGCAGGATCAGTTAATCAATACCCTCCAGAATATTCTCAAGTGTTTCTTTTAGGCAAATTGATATGCATCAATTTAAGGGTGAGTGTTTAAATGTAAAATATATTTTGTGATTAGTTTCTTAATTTAGGTGTGAACATTTTAATTATGGGTCGTCATTTAGGCATCAATTAGGTGTTAATTAAGTGTCAATTAGGATTGATTAGTTTCCTTTTTATTACTATTCTGTGCATATATTTATCAGCCTAGTATTGTAAACGTTTGGTGTGAATGAGAATTATTTTGATCCAAATTTCAAGTATTAGTACTTATAAGCTTCTTATTCTTTTGGACTCCTTTTGTTTGCATGTTACGTTTGGCTATGAAGTTACGTGTTAACTGAGCCTAAAGTCCGGATAAAGCATCAATTTAAGTGAAGGTAGGGAAAAATAGCCGCCAAAATGATCATTCTTTTTTTTTTGTTTTTTTTTTTTTTTAAGTTGCCCTTTGAAGCATCTTTTCTAATATGAAAAACAACTTCCTCATATTTCTAAAGCAATAAAAAAAAAAAGAGATATTTAGTGGTGATTATATATGTGTATATATATATATATATATATATAGATAGATCTGTAACGTATTTAAAAAGAAAATCAGGCTTTGCACATGTCCTAAATTATAAAATTCATATTACATGCAAGTATCCATATTATATGCAAGTCAACGACGTAATAAATTATAAAATTCAGCACGTGAAAATTATGCTCGAGTAGGCTGCAGGCACGTGCAAAGTCAAATGCCCCACCTACTCTTGTTTGTCTTAATGCAATTGCAAGTTATCACCCGATAAGTTCCCCCAAGTCCCAGATGCTCCCTTGAGCCTTATCTCGGATTATTATTTTAAATTTTTAGCGTATCAAACAGTATCTAATATTTTATTATAGAAAAAATTGCTAAATTTATTTTTAAAGTGCATAAATTTAAATTTTTTATCTCTTATTATTAATTAATACATTTTTAACTAATATAATTTATTTAATTAAAAATAATATTAATCAAGTGTAACGATTAAAAATCCGGAGCTAACTTTAAAAAGTATTTGTTTCCTCTTTCCCGTATCATATCATTTAACAGAGTCAAATAACATCAAAGCATGAGAACCTATAGTTAAAAGCATTTCTTTGCTTTTTTTTTTTTTTTTAAATATTAAGACATGATTTGATTGTTTAAGATCTCCTTTATCTATCACTTTTAGACTAAGAAACCACAAATTAAGCAGATCATCACAAGTAATTATATCCAAAACTGGGGGCATTTAACAATGAAAGAGGCTATTTAAGAGGACACATTGTCAGTTCCAAGATTAAAACTTAATTTCTGAAGCAAATCAAGCGATATTGAACAAATCAATGCCCAAAATGTTGTTATCTTTCTTCCTTGCCACAGTTCTTGCGGCAACATCAGCCCAAGCTGGCTATGAATACCCTCATGATATAACCAACAAAATTTCCCTTCTCCGTACGAAATCTGGTGCAGGCGTCAGCTTCGTCGACGAGGAATGGTGCCTGAGTTGGCGATTCGGCATCGAGACAAACAACCTCGTTGACTGGGCAATGTATCCGGAGGAATGTGAGGGCTACATATGGCGTTACATGCTCGGTTGTCAGTACGAGAAGGATTCGAAAGTGGTTACCGAAGAGGCTTATGAATACGCCAAGAACCTCAACCTTCCCTACGACGGCAAGATTCACGTGTGGGTCTTTGATATAGATGAGACTGCACTCACCAACTTAAATCACTTCATCCCCAAACATGGATTTAGGTACGTACGTGATCCTCATCTATATATATATATTATAGTAATATTTATTATATACAATATTCGTCCCCATGCATGCATGGATTTCTATCTATTTGTATAGAAACAAAAATCAAAGTGGACTCCATTTGTGTTTTGTACTGATGCTAACAAACCACCGCCTGCAAAAATTTGGCTCTGAAACTATATTAGATGAGCTGGGTAGAACTCATTCTTAAAAATTAGCTCAAAAAAGAGAGGGTACCCAATTCATATATAAACATCACAGCAGCCCAATAACTTAGCGATGTGAGACAAATACACAATCCAACAGCTATAACATGGCAAATATGTAACTTAGAGAGCTTATAATTGTTTGAATCATATGGATATTGCTAGCAGCGCTTCATTACACACGGTCCAATAAATATTATTGAACCACCAAATGCAACCAATTAATTAACCGATCACGTGTATGATTCAATTTCGTAGTTTTAGTCGATATCACGTTTAATTGCTCTATATATGCAAATGATATGCATTGTTTCTTTAATCACCCTTTTATGCACAGTTATAGCTTGTTTGGTTTATAAATTTGAATAGAAATTTAAATTTATGATCTATTTGCACAAAAAAGAAAATTTACTTCACAGGGTTTGAATAAAAAAAAAATTTGAGTTCACGTTCAAATTTTTTTAAAAGAAAATATTATAACAAAAAAGTTTGAACTATAATTCAAACGACATGCAAAATAAATAGATCCTTAATGTGTAATAAATGGTCGTGTCTATTTTCTCATAAACTTCAACTTATAATTTGTCATACACGAGTACGAAATCGTAATGTTTTCAGTGATATTTCAGGGCGAAGCCATCCAATAATGAACACGCCTTGGAAGAAAGCCCCGCGTTGCCTGCGACTCTTGAGCTGTACAAGAAGTTAGGGACCTTGGGAATTAAGGTTGTGTTTCTTTCACTGAGAACAGAAGACCTAAGAACCGACACTGAAAATAATTTAAGAAATGTTGGATACGAAACATGGGAAAAAGTTATACTCAGGTAAGCTCTTTGGTCAGCTTGGTCTTGATATGGATCAATTACTAGTTAAAAATATTTTGATTTCATGGTATTTTTAACTTGCTTTTATTGCTGCAGGCCGGATTCAAATTATGCAGGAACATCACTTGAGTTCAAATCAGGTCAGAGGAAGAAGTTAGAGGAATCCAAATATAGAATTGTTGGGAACATAGGGGACCAATGGAGCGATCTCTTAGGAACAAACAGCGGCTTGAGAACCTTCAAGTTGCCAAACCCGATCTATCACGTTAATTAGTTGAACACGTACTTGTTCTAAGAATAAATCCAACTCTGATCCCAACTTTTTAATACTAATTAACTTAGTCATACCGTACTGTGAGTAGTCATATTTCTTCTTGTTGATAGATATTTAAGAAATTATCATGTTTATTAACATGAAAATATTGTATCTATCAATAAAAAAATGACAACTCACGATACGTGAATTAGTATCACAAAAGTAGTTGGTTTAGAATTGGAGTCCTGGCACCGCTTTTATATAATGTACCCAATATTGTCACGCTCGTGGCTAATGTTGAAATTTCGTGTAGTGTTGTATATTGTTGACGTCTTTTCTTTAATGTGTGTTGGGAACTTGTAAGTTTAATCTTGGACAAGTTTACTGATCTATGTTCGATAATAAATAAAGAATTTGGCTGACATTGACGTTAGATATATATCGTGTTTGGCTTGGCTCCTAGCTAATAGAACGATCACTAGTATATATAGTTAAGTTATTACTGTCATTACTTAAGCAAAAATTAATAATAATAATAAAAAAATAAAAAGAGAAAAAAATGTTATTACTTCTATTATATTCGAACTCCGATTATATATACTACATAGTCATGCACGTGTGGAGATATATATATATATATATATATATATATATATATATAGATGGCTTGCAAGTATTTATCCATATCCATATTACCGAACTAAATGAGCAAACCAAGTGGATAATAGTTATATTATATATTAATTGGTTTATTAAGTAAACATGGCACCATATATATGGCGTTCCACACTTTCAGCCAAATGAAAAAAAAATAATAATAATAAAAATTCACCAATACATATGCATCAAAACTGGGCTTTACATCACCATTCCTTCCTCTCTTCTTCTTCTTCAAAGAAAAGGTTCGGTTTTGTCATGATGTCTTCTCAGTTGTCCATTTTTTTTTTGAAATATTTCCTCTTATTTTCCCTTTGGAAAATGGCTGAATGATTCATTTTTACGAAGGAAAAAAAAAAAAAAAAGTCAGACATCACTTCGGACAGTGCACGTGGCTGCGTGGGTTTTTTTTTGTTTCTTCACGAACTCCAATTAAGAAGTTGATTTTAAAAGTAAATTTATGTGAAAGAAAATGTTGTAGTAAGAAAGTTGAATATGAATTTTTTGTGAAAAAAATACTATAATAAAAAATTTAAACTATTATAATTCGAATTATGAAAAGAATAAGGAGTGTACTGGTTATAAACTCATAAATGCCAGAAAAACTAATAAAAGTCACTTAAACATCAAGTATAATTTTATCTATGTTTTTGACCGTCTGTGTATATAATATGTATGTATGTGTGTGTGTGTATATCGAGAATGGTAATCTTCCACGGTCTCTGCATTCAATTCTGATAAAGTTTGTGACCTGAAATGTGAATCACATTTGCTAAATGGAAATTAAGTATTTACATTTTAATAATCACTAGAAAACATTATCTTGAATAGTAACGTTTACACGCTATGTTAAAATATTTTTCTAATTTGAATTTGAATCGTATTTATCAAAAGTCATTTGTCCTTATTTTTTTTTTAAATGAAAAGGAATAATTTTATAATTTAAAATAATATTTTTTCATTCGATCAAATAAATAAAGCACATGACAATTCCAATACAGATAATGAGATCCGAACACAAATAAGCGTGAGGTCATGAAATGCATATTTGTAATCCTTGTGCCTATCTTATAATATCAGACTGGATAAAAATATTTTTTCATCAATAATCCGTGAAATATATCAATACTTTCCAGACAACATTCGTAAAGTATCAGTATCTATCTTTTCCTTTCACAATTTTACGTTAGTATCCGGATATACGTTGATATTTGTATGGATATATTCTCAAAATTAATATCTGGTGATATCTACACAAATAAGAAAAAAATAAACATAAGAAATAAGAAAAAATACTTTTGATAGAAAATTATTGATCTCGCACGTTCTACTTTTTGATGAGGAAATTTAATCTTGGGAAAAATATTGTTTAAACTAGTATGAGGTGCAAACTCATGTCGTTGAACCTTCATGGAAACAAGACCAAAATATACTTAAAATAACAAAACCAAACAAAACTATGAGAAATGTGTATATAGATAGAGGTAAACTTCCAAAGATCTAGATTTATATGAACATATATTTAAAGCCTAAAGAGACTTTTATTTGCTCGTAGAAGCCTAAAAGAGATTACTTCGAAAAAAAAAAATCCCTTACCGAGGATCCCTTTTCAGTGGGAATTAGGAAAGTAAACAAGAAATAGGGCACAAAAGAGAGAATTTCATAACTCTCTTTCCTTTGACTATCTGAAAAGACTCAATTTAACAATAAAAACTGACTCACAGCCTCCGTCTTTGTTCCCACTATATCCATCCACAACCCTTTGCTCTAGAGCAATTAGTTGGGTAACTTTGGCTTCATATTGTTCGTTGCACTTTTTTTATTAAAAAAAAAACCGTTTGACCTTTGTTTGAATTAAAAGTTTTGAATATTACATTTTTGTTGTAGAGATAAAATTCAAATTTTTTTGAAATGTGTGTTCAAATCTATGAACTAAACGAGCTATTAATATTCATCAAATGAGTTAATTGTGACATAGAGAGATCTAGCTAGTAATAATTGTTTTTATATTTTCATTGTCGTTTGTTTTAGCTCACAAATTTAACTTTACTTTATTATTAGTGTGTCGTTTGTTTTAGTAGTATTTTGTTATCATTTTGTAAAATTGAATATATATAGTCACATTACCTATTATAATAGTATGACTTGATTAATAAGATTAAATTGAGTTGAGTGTTTTCTCTCTAATCTGGGAGATTTTCCCCTTGTAAAGTTTATTTAGGTAGATTTAGAATTTTATGTCCTGTCTATCATCCGGATTTGGCAGGTAAAACTCTATCTTCTCCATTCTGCTACATCAGTTTGCCATGGTTTTGTGCAATCCTATTTTTATGTCATTCTAAATATTTAGGTGTTATTATGACATTTTATTTTATTTTTATTAATTGAATGATAACTGTTTATTTTTGAGTAAAGTGACATAAATAATATTTTTTTTACCGTGAGTGGTTTTTTCCCTTTTTATTTCAATCGCCATCCTCTCTTGTCGTTTTTACGGTTAAAGCAGTTTCACACCTTTTCGTTTTTCAATTTGTTGTGGTTTTTTCTGTTATTGTCGTTTGTAACTTTAGTTGTTGTTTTTGTCTAGTATGTCGTTATCATTTCCCGGTGTCCTTTTGAAATTTCTTTCTGTAATCAATCGTTGTCGTTCTTTTAGTTGCAGTTAATGCTCTGAGTTGCCGTTTCTATCTTGTTTGTCGTTCTTTCATCTATTGTCTTTCATTAGGTTGTCTTTTGGTTCTTTTACTGTCGTTTTCCATTTTTGGCATCGTTTTTCTTTTTTCGGTTTGCTTTTCAAAGACAGGTGCTGTCCTCTTCAGTCTATTGTTTTGTTGGATCTGTCGTCCCTTTATCTCTTTTCACCCTTTCTGCTTCTTTGTCGTTTCTCAACCAACTTTTGCTGTCGTTATAGTTCGACGTGGATTTTATCATGTATTGCCATTTTCACTTGTTTGGTGTCGTAACACAGATGAATAAGCGAATAGAAAATTGCTTCGTAATTATGATAAAGTGGTATCTGATCAAAGTGTACTCTGAATTCTTCTTCCACAATGAACTCGCAAATCAGCAACGCCGATAATATGATTTTCGTTCTTGTTGTGCATGCATTAACACAAGTCAATAGAAGTTCAAATTCTTGTTTAAAGCCAAGCCAAATCACCATCCAACAGTTCTGAAACGACGTCGTTGTGCGCTCCATAAATCTCCCTGATCAGTCTCCCGAGTTCAGATCGGCGCGTTTAAGGAAAAACGAAAAAGGCAGAGCAGAAACCAAACCACCATGAGGCGCCGCAACCCAAACCTCAGCCTCGCTATAACCACCGCCGTGTCGGCCACGCGCCGCCACTACGCCACGAAATACACCGCCAAAATAACCTCAACCTCCCCGACCGGTCGTTCCCTCTCGGCGGAGGTCACGCCGCCGCCACCCCTCCCTTCCGACGTCCGAGGTTACCCTCTGCCCCGCCGCGACCTCGTCTGCAAGGCCACTCGCATCCTCCTCCGCCAGTCGCCGTCGGCGTCGTCGGACCCCTTCTCCGACCTCGCCGACTTCCTCAGCTCCCTCTCCATCTCCCTCACCCCAGCCGAGGCCTCCGAGATCCTCAAATCCCTAAACCACCCTCGCCTCGCCCTGCGGTTCTTCCACTTTTGCCCCTCAATTTCCCCCAATTTCCGCCATGACTCCTTCACCTACACCCGCCTCCTCCTCATCCTCTCCAATTCGGTCTCCACCGACCGCCTCGACCTCGTCCGTTCCGTCCTCTCCGACATGGACCGGTCCGGCGTGCGCGGCACGATCTCCACCGTTAATATCTTGATCGGATTGTTCGGCCATTGCGAGGATCTCGAGATGTGCCTAGGTCTGGTCAAGAAATGGAATCTCACGATGACATCTTACACTTACAAGTGCTTGCTTCAGGCCTATCTCCGCTCGTACGATTCTTCTAGAGCCTTCGAGACGTATCGTGAAATGCGACGGCGAGGCTCTAAACTGGACATTTTTGCTTACAACATGCTCTTGGATGCCTTGGCCAAGGATGAAAAGGTTTTGACTTCTTTCCTCCCCCCCCTGAATTTATCATTTTGTAGGAAATTAGAAGATTTTATCTTTTCAGTTTTTGAATTAAAGAGCCAAATCCCTTAGTTTGGGATTAGGATCCTAGGAGATAGGAAATTTCGGTTTTTCTAGATAAACACCGGATCTAGATAGATTTAGATAAGATAAGAGTTTATTTGAATTTTTATGAGCTGTAAGGGTACTTGGTATCCTATAAATTAGGTTTACGTTACACTAATAATAATAAGAGAAAAAAGTAAGTTTTTCCCTTCAAAACCTACATTTTTCGTACCTCTTTTCCTGAAAGATTGAAACTTTGCTAGGGTTTCGCTTGCTGGAATTCTGATCATCTGATGTGCAGCTTTTTGGTAGGTTGACCAAGCTTACAAAATTTTCGAAGATATGAGAAGGAAGCACTGTAGGCCTGATGAGTTTACGTACACGATTATGATCAGAATGACTGGAAAATCTGGTAAGGCTGACGAATCGTTGGCTTATTTTCAGGAAATGATAACAATGGGCTATACTCCGAATTTGATTGCTTATAATACTATGATTGAGGCTGTTGCTAGGAACAAGATGGTTGATAAGGCCATCTTTGTTTTCTCAAAAATGGTGGAGAACAATTGTAGGCCTAATGACTTTACATATAGTGTGATTTTGAATGCTCTGGTTGTTGAAGGGAAGCTTGGTAGATTAGATGAGGTCGTGGAATTGTCAAAGAAGTACATGACTAGGTCGATATATGCTTATCTTGTTAGGACATTGAGCAAATTAGGCCATGCTAGTGAAGCTCATAGACTTTTTTGCAACATGTGGAGCTTCCATGAGAAGGGTGATAGAGAAGCATTCGTGTCCATGTTGGAGAGTTTGTGCAGCGCAGGTAAAACGGCAGAGGCCATGGACCTGCTGAATAAGATTCATGAGAAAGGAATCACTCCTGATACTATCATGTATAACATGGTATTCTCAGCTCTTGGCAGGTTGAAGCAAATATCCCATCTCCATGAGCTTTATGAAGAGATGAAAAAAGATGGCCCTGCACCGGACATAATCACCTACAATATCCTAATTGCCAGCTTTGGTAGAGCTGGAAAAGTCGACGAGGCTGTTAATTTGTTTGAAGAACTTGAGAACAGCGATTGCAGACCTGATATTGTCTCTTACAATTCCTTGATCAATTGCCTTGGGAAAAATGGCAATGTAGATGAAGCACACATGAGATTTAAGGAGATGCAGGAAAAAGGATTTTGTCCTGATGTTGTTACGTATAGCACTCTCATTGAGTGCTTTGGTAAGACTAATAAAGTCGAGATGGCCTGCAGGCTGTTCGATGAGATGCTCGCTGATGGCTGCAGTCCCAACATTGTGACATACAACATCTTACTCGACTGTCTTGAGAGGTGTGGGAGAACTGCTGAGGCAGTTGATTTGTATGCTAAACTCAAGCAGCAGGGACTTACTCCAGACTCGATTACGTATGCAGTTCTTGAGAGGTTGCAGAGTGGTTCACATGGGAAAACCAGAGTTCGCAGGCAGAGTCCAATTACAGGTTGGGTTGTCAGCCCTTTAAGGTGATGATTAAAATTGGATAATGGCTTGATGGATTGCCAAGAAAATCTTGTCCAGTTCTGTATTTATTCTTCATGTGGCGGCTATTTTTAAATTGCCGCCAGTCATGCATTTGTCGCTGGGAACCTTCCGTGGTGACGGAACTGATGAAATCAAGATTGGGGGAAGATAAACTGCTGTGTATGAAATTTTTTGAATTGAGTCCTGTTAGTTCCTAATTAAATTTCTTAGGATGTGGTCCGTTTAGATAACATGAAGGCTGTTACTTTGATCTCATTTCTTTTTCTTTAATGTGTTGGTCATTTTTAGACACAATAACCTTATGAACCGCAGCACGTGCTCCGTTAACTTTAAAACAGAGGAGGGGAGATTCAAGGTTCTTTTTTTTTTCTTTTTTTTTTTTAACTTTATTTTAGTTTCATTTTTCATCTTATATTCTTATATATTGGAGCACAAGAATGTTTTTGGCGTTATTAGCTCAAAATTAGTTTGTTAAACACGGAATAAGATAAGAATTCCTAAGGGCTTGTTCTTTTAGATCAAAACTAAAAAAAGTTTGTTAAACACGGAATAAGATAAGAATTCCTAAGGGCTTGTTCTTTTATATCAAAACTCAAAAAAAGTTTAAATTCAAGTTATAATTTTATTTAAGTTTATGTTTTTTTTTTTGTAAAATTTGAGTTTGAACTTGAATTTGAATTTGAATTTTAACTTAAGTTTGGGGCTAAAATTTAAATTCAAGTTCTCCCTTCAACTTAATTTCTTAAACTCAAATTTAAGTTAATGAACAATATTTTTTATTCTTAAAAACACTATTTTTTTAGTTTTAATTCTGATTGAGATGATTTTTTTTCTTATGCGTTCACAACGAATAGACGAATAAAATCTCATCCATATATCTTATTAAAATTTTTCATCACTATTGAGTTTTTCTTAAAATATTATTTAAATACAAATTCAAGTTTTGACCAACTCAAACATAAACTCGAATATATTTCTAATTCAAACCATAATTCAAATGTGCACATTCAAATACAAACTCAAGCTACAAGTTGAACTCAAGTTATAATTCAAATTCAACTCAAAATCTACGTTTAAGTCACCATAACTAAAAAATATAACCGAATAAGCCCTAAATCTTTTAATGGGTTCATTACAAGAATTTTGTTTTTGTTTTATTAGGGGTAATTCTACTATACACTATAGGAGGTCGGGCTTTTACTGTTCAAAGAACAGTGTGAGCTCTTTTTTATCCCTCAGCTTTTAAGAAAATTTCATATGTGTCTCTTCACTTTTACTTTTATCGTTTTGCTCTTAGTTTCTTATTTCTTCATTGTTTTTTGTTTGGGTGTGTTGGTCATTTCTATGTTATATACCAAATGCCTTAGAAAATACGATAGGTGTGAGCTCTTTTTTAGCCTCAGCTTTTTAGAAAATTTCATATGTGTTCCCTCACTTTTGCTTTTACCGTTTTGCCCTCAGGTTCTTATTCCTTCATTGTTTTTTATTTGGGCGTTTTGGTCATTTTCATGTTATATACTAAATGCCTTAGAAAACTTCTCGGAGAAGCTTTGTTAACCTTTTTCTTTCCTTTTGGTCCCTCTTCTTTTTTGTTTATTACTCATTTAGTGTTAATTGAAGTAAGAAAATGTTTTTTTGAATAGTGCACTTCTAACCAAAACGATGTAGTTTTAATTGAAAGTGTACAACTTTCTCACTTTTTTTTAGTCTTTTATTTTAGGTTGTTTTTACCTTTCATGCTAAAACTTTTTCATTTTTTTTATTTTAGTATTTTTAACTTTTTATTTTTTTTTTCTTTTTGTCCTAAAATTTTATTTTCATTTTTATTTTGGTTCCTTTTACCTTAAAATTTATTCATTTTTCCCTTTTGGTTTTTTTATTGACGATGTTTTTTGCTTCTTGCCCTAAAAATTATTTATTTCTTCATTTAGTCTTATTTTATTTTATTTTTTTACTTTTTGTCTTGAAAATTTTTCTTTTTTTTCTTGTTTTTGCCCTAAAACTTATTTATCTCTTCATTTTAGTCCTTTTTACCTCTTTTTTATTTTTTACCTGCAACTTTATTTAGTTTTTCATTTTGGCTCTTTTTGCCTTAAAACTTATTTGTTTCTCCATTTTATCCTTTTTTAACTCTTTTTTTATTTTATTCCTTACATTTTATTATTTTTTTTGGTTTTGGTTCCTTTTACTCTAAAATTTAGTTATTTCTTCATTTTTGTCTTTTTTGACCATTTTTTATTTTTTCCCTAAAATTTTATTTTTTTCACTTTGGTTTCTTTTGCCCTCAAATAATATTTATTTCTTCATTTTAGTCCTTTTTACCTCTTTTTTATTTTTTATCTGAAACTTTATTTATTGTTTGTTTTTGCTCCTTTTGCCTTAAAATTTATTTGTTTCTCCATTTTATCCTTTTTTAACTCTTTTTATTTTATTTTATTCCTTACATTTTATTATTTTTTTTTGTTTTGGTTCCTTTTACTCTAAAATTTAGTAATTTCTTCATTTTTGTCTTTTTTGACCATTTTTTTATTTTTTCCCTAATATTTTATTTTTTTACTTTGGTTTCTTTTGCCCTAAAATAATATTTATTTATTCATTTTAGTCCTTTTTTGACTTTATCTTGGTTTTTTGCCATGAAACTTATTTTTTTTTTCTTATTTTGGTTCCTCATTGAGATTTTATATTCAGATTTTACGAGCCTGAATACTGCGCGTTACTGCGGAATATAATGTTGTATCACATAAAAGATTTGCTATTATAACAAACATAGTTACAAATATATACACATACAGGCCCCGTTCACTTCGCTGATTCGAGTTTAGAATTTGAGTTGAGATGTGACTTTATGTGAGAGCTTTTTACTGTAGCAAAAAAGTTAGATGTGATTGTTTGTGAGAGTTTTTTACTGTAGAAAAACTCGAATTCTAAACTCGAATCAGCGA